ATAGAGTGGACAATGGCAGAAAAGAGCGTTCACCAGAGGCAAGGCAGGCCTTGGGTGCACAGGGGGATCCACAGGGTGGGCACTAAGGAACTTAGGGAAGCTAGGAACTAGTTCTCAGTGCTTGGCAGGGAAGAGCCCCATGTCCAGCAGACTTCAGCAGAGGAATTTCTGCTCTCTCCCATGGTCTTAGGACTTGCTGCTGGAATAATCATTTTCTCAAGAGTCCCCAGAGTCCTTTTATCCTATCACAAGAGGATCAACTTCTCTCTGTGGCCAGGGCCCTTTCTACAGAGGCAGTCCCTATTTGCCTTCCAGGCTATAAGAGAGGGACCTGGGGATATAAACCACCACAAGGCCCAACCTCTACCACCACCCTCACTATCTTCATCATCATCATCATCACCATCATCATCATCACTATTATTGCTTTATCTTGGCTAATCCTTAAAATAAGTCTGGAAAATAGGAATTATTAGCTCCACATAATGTTTAAGAATATGTAACTCAGAAAAGTTAAGTGAAGTGCCCAAGGTCATCTAAGTGGGATTCTGGCTAGGTTTCTCCAACTTCATTTCCCCATACTGGCTTCTAGTAGGGTCCTTCTCTCTCAGGCTGTCTGCCAGGGCCCAAGTATAGGAATTAAACTCCCCAGTCCTGCCAGGGCTGGGGCTGGAGCTGTTGCTTAGAGCTTCTTAGTCCAGGCCTAGTCATGTGACATTGGGGAAAGGAAGATAATATTCCCGTCTATGACACTGGCCTATATTTATCCCTGCACCCAGGCGGTTAGGAAACTGTTGCACATTCCTGGGAATTTATGAGTGAAATAAACATTTAAATGTTTCTATAAGGTTTATTTAAGGAGAACAAAATGTGACCTGCTGGCTTATTATAGGGTGAACTTGTGGGAGATGGCCTAGGCGCCTAGTGCTTGGCTGACTCCAGGGAAGGGAAATGGATCCCTGGGGAGACTGGGCCCATGGAAAGGTAAGAGGATGACCCTGCCATCTCTCTTCCAGCTGTGTGTTCAAACTTATGCTGGCTGGAGGGCTTCCTAGAGGAAGGGGTTTGTAAGGGAGGGAGCAGCTTGGAAGAATAACAGAAGAGTGTCAGAGTATCCTGCCCATACCAGGAAACAGGGGAGGTAAGACCAAAGACCAGGGGAACAACTGTAAGAGTAGCATGGTGGAGGGGGAAGGCCAACAGGCCTGGTCTGTAGTCCTTCTTTCCCACTATTTACCAGCTGTACAACCTTGGGCAAGTCTGTTTTTTCATTGATAAAGTGGGGATTGAAGGAGAGAAAAGGGGGAGAGAAAAGAAATGTATCCATAGCCTATTCCATGCTTAGGGACTTCACTTTCCTCTTCATGATTTGATGACATCAGGAGGCATTATCACCCCCAATTTGTGGATGGGTATCTTGTTCATTTGCAGAATTGCTGGAGAGGATGAAATAAGGAAGCATATCAGAAGTGTCTGGGACAGGGCCCCACACACAGTAGGTCTAAGAAAGTGTCACTGCCCTCTACCCACATTTGTTCCTTTGCTTCTTGTGTCTTTAACCCACACAGGGAAGCTCTATTTCATCTGAGGGGCAGATGGTAAGAGAAGAAGTGGAGCCAGGTGAAGGTGGTCTTGGAGAAGGGCTTCTCTGAGAGTCAATGATTACAAGACCACTCTGGGAGTCATTGATTACAAGACCACTGGAGCTTGTGTGGTCAGATGCCCTGGGAGATGCTCTGTGGCTTCATGACCAGAGAGTAAGGCCCTCCTAACTTAACTCCAAGTGGTTGATCAGACTCAAAACTAAAAACAACAATCTTCTCAGAACCAAACTCCAAAGTAATTAATTCAGCCACAAAGGTAACAATAACAGAATATAACATCTGACACTTAATGAGCAATTTACTAAGTGCCTAGTGCTTCTATGAGCTTTCTACTTCGAGCTATAGATTTAATGAAATGAAAATACAGTTATGTCCATGCAATATTTGAGACACACACAACACTAAAAAATTATTTGTTGTTTATTTAAAATGCAAATATAACTGGACATCTTGTATTTTAACTAGCAATCTTATTTCTGTATTAATTCATTTAATTACTGTAACTACCCTGTGAGATAGTTTTTTTTACAGAAGAGGTAACCAAGGCACAAAGAGGTAAGGTAACTTGCCCAAGGTCACACAGCTAGTAAGTGAGTAGCTGTATCATGCGTGAATTACTGTGGCTCTCAAGCCCAAGGCCCTTGAAGTCTTAAAGTGCGTAACTTCACTGGAAGACTGTGTTTGGACATGCTGCACGGCAAGCTTCCTTGAGGCCCTATCTTCTGTTCGTCAGCTCAGAGTGGGAGCAGGGAGGAGTATTTACATGCATCACACACACTAAACTCTGGCAGAATTCACTCCAGAGGGTCCCTGGAATCTCCCACACTCTCCTGGATTCCTGTCTCCCTAGAGCCTGCTGAACTGAAACAGCCCACAGAAGACTGAGTGTTCCCCACAAAAAGTTTTGCCCAGAGCTTGTTCATTCTTTGTACCGATTAGGGAAAGAACACTTTGATTTTATTATTGCATATTCTGCACACATTGGAAGGAGAGAGTAAGGAGCATTCCAGGACATTCCGTCAGGGGATTAGAGGATTTCTCCCTGATTGCTTTATGCCTCCTGGTTTTTAAGCAGCTTTGAATTGTGTGTGTTTCTGGTTACATGCTTGGCACTTGCCTCCCGTGGCTTGTTTCAGCCTTTCTGTGTGAGCACCTCTGCCCTTTTCTGAGTGAGGGTGCCTACAGCCCCATACATGACAGCCACCTCAGGAGAGCTTTGCTCAAAGTGGCCTTTAGTCAGGAGGCAGAGAAAACTTCCACCAGAAAGCTGCTCCTCCAGTGTATTGCAGACCATTTATGTCACAGTCAAAACTAATGGCACCAGGCCCTGGGCGCTACCTGGGATGGGTGTGGGGGGTACTTTCCTCATTCCCCATCCCACTGTGCTAACTGAGAAGCATTTCAGAGACCTCCCTAATTCACTTTTCTCTTCCCAGGCCCTAGCATAGATCATAGCACATAATAAACATTCAGAAGTTTGCTGGATGAACGGGGAGAACAAAGCGTAATAATGTGCGAAAGCGTACACAATGACCTCTCTTAGACCCTAAGACTTTTGAAAACTAAGTCAATCATAAGGAGAAAGTTTAGACAATCTGTACAATAAGTAGATGGATGGAGCTGGAAGGGTTTAAGTTGAGGAGGGAGGGAGAAGAAGAAAGGCTTCAGGTGGGGAGGGTAAGGAAGTGAAAAGTCAAAGGGCAGGCGTGAGTGAAGAATGGAGTTCTTCTTCTATTGCCTTTTTGTATTTGCTGAATAATTCTTTAAAGCAATTTTTCTCAGAACCTGGACCACATGGATCACAGATTCATTAGGTTTCAGGTCAAACAGTTTAACTTCAGAGTCAAACCATGGATAGTTAGAAGCATGCATTTCTCTTTATCCCCTAGGGATGTTTATAATTATCAAATTTTCTCCCCAAAAAGCCTCCTTTTTAAAAATCTTTGATCTCATTGCTGGTTACTTCAAATTGCTTTGGGAAATAGGCAGTGTGTCAAGAAAATTTAATCAATAAATTAATTATATTCTACTTACTTAGCAGCCTGAATATATAAAATTCTTGGAGGTATATATTATAATCCCCTCAGCACTAGCACAAATTTTCTTTCAGAATGCAACATGAAGAAACTGATGTTTGTTTCTCCTGCCCCTTTTATGCAGACCTACCCCATCTGCATTAATGCCTGCTGGGAATTAAAAAAAGCCTACCCCAAGGGATGGCAAAAACCATATGATATAATAAAATGAAAATGATATGTTAGCCAAAGTACATTTTTTCCTGTTTGCTCGTGGATTCATACAAGATAGAAATTCTCTAAATATGAAAGCCACAAATAAGGTAATTTCTAGAGATCAAACAGTCATGGTCAAAATAAACTCCACCCAGGGAAGGAACTTCAAACATACTGTAATCACAGTCAGTGTTTCAAATGGAATTCCCCCATGAGGCTGTATGGAAAGAAACCTCATCAAGATGATGTCGGAATTATACAAGATGATTAAGTCCTAGAGATCTATTGTACAGCTTAGTGCCTAAAGTTAACAATATTGTATTGTATACCTAAAAGTTTGCTAAGAGGGCCGATCTTTTAAGTGTTCTTATCACAACAACAGCAACAATAATAATAGTAGTACATAAATAAGAAGGCAGGAAGAAACTTTGGGAAGTGATGGATAGGTTTATGGCATAAATTATGATGAGGGTTTCACAAGTGTATACTTAGCTCTAAACCCGTCAAGTGGTATACATAAAATATGTATAGCTTTTCATATGTCAATCATGCCTTAATTAAGTGGTTTAGAAAAGAAAAGGTGTCATGAGTGGAGGAGGCTTTAAGCATAAAAACCAAGATAGGTTAAGAACTGTGCACACAGGGACAGTAACTTGGATGCCTTCAGGGCCAGGAAGGGAGCACAAATGATTGAAGCAAGCCAGCAGAAGCAGACCAAAATTTACTCTGCAGAAATGTAGACCCAAGATTTCTTGGTCTCTTGGTTTTTTCAGGAAAAGCAGGAAATCCAGAACTTAGGGAATTCCAATTATAGAATGTTAGCAACTAATATAGAAACTTATAAACACTACTCACATCAAACAGCCCTCTAGGTCTCTGATTTGTACCACAGAGAATTTGTAGCTCAGAGAAAAGGCTTACTCCCTAGTTGAGATCTGAAAAACCACATCAATAACCAGCCCTTGTAGTGACATGAAGAGAAGCCTCTGGATAAACTTCAGCCCTTCTTTCTGCTCACTGGAGAATCCACACAGTAGAAAACCTCCCCATTCCTCCCTCTTTATCAGTTTTCCCAGTAAGGAGGCACCTGCCCCTGGCCCTGCCTGCCCCAGCTCCAGCCCATGACCTGCCGTTTTGACACCCTGATTCCCCTTTTTGACCCCAGCAGCTCTTCTGGATACTGTTCCACTGTGTGTCATCAAGACCCACATCATGACCCAAGATTCTCCTGCTTCCCTCCTGGCCCCTTGGAAGGCCCCAGCCTCTCTGCTGCTTGCTGGCCTCCTACCAGGGGACAAAAGGTGGGGAGAACTGAGTAGAGCCATTGTTCATTTTAATGATAATTGTGATTAATGGGTATTTGTATATTATATGAGACTTATCAAAGCGTATACACATTCATCATTTCATTTTATTCACACAAACTTCTTCTGAGACAGAGCAGGCCTTTTGACCATTTTATAGTTATGGGGACTAAGAGATAAGGTAACAGAAGGACAAAGCAAGTGACCATCAAGAATGATCATCACTACTATCCATCGAAGGAGCTGCTGCTTCTTTGGGAAACTTTCTGAGGATCTCTTACAAGAGGAGTCCTTAACAGAAGGATGGATATCTGTGTCCTTGGAGGGACTGGAGCTCTGGAGTTATAAAGGACAGTCTGGCCAGTTCTGGTTCCAACCATAAGCATCATGCTGACTCTCTGTCACTCTACCCTGGCCAACTGTGGGTGTCCAGATGGAGACTAATACAGCTCCAATTTATTGAAAGTTCCTCAAAATTCCCAGAAGGATGATGGATGCTGTAATAACTGGAAATTTTCCTCATCTCAACCATTGTGTGCCATGATGATCCATGAATGGAACATCTGTCAACATTTCTATGTTCTCTCTTTTGTTGGTCAGATTAATCCCAAACCCGACCTTCAGTGTTCTCCATCTCCAAAACCACAAAAATCAAACTCACTGGAGTAATGCCCAATGTTAACAGAAGCTGGCTCAACCTTTTATTCTACTTCCATTATTTGCCCCTAAATTAGCTTCCCGGACCTAAGTCCAACATAGGTGTGTTTGTATGTGTTGTAGGCTTCCCCCATCAACAAACAATTATTTGATACCAGCAGGGTGTCCAAGAACTCATTCAATTCTGACACTATCTACCTGGAGATGGATCCGTAGGTAAAGGGTTCCGTCCTACTGCCCCCACTTCAGGCACCAGTCACAAGCCCAGGTTATCACCTGTGCTTCTGATGGATTGGCTATAATTTAGAGGTTCCCATAATCTCCTCGTCAGGTGTGATAATTTGCTAGAGTGACTCATAGAACTCAGGAAAACCCATTTATTCACTAGATTAATGATTTATTACAAAGGATATTAAAAAATATGCATCAACAGTCAGATGAAGAGATATGTAGGATGAGGTCCTGAATAAAGGAGCTTCTGTCCTTGTGGAGCTTGGGATGTGGCACAGTGGCATGTGGAAGTGTCTTGGTTCCCCAACATGGAAGCACTCTGAACCTCCTCCTCTTGGGTTTTTATAGAGGCTTCATTATTTAGGTATGATTAATTAACTCATTGGCCATTGGTGATTGATTCAACCTCTAGCCCCTCTCACCTCCTGGGAAATCAAGGGGTGGGAATGAAAGTTCCAACCGTCTATTCATGGCTGTTACCCCTGGCAACCAGCTTCCATACTTAGGTGCTTTGCAAAAATCACCTTCATTAGCGTAAACCCAGTTGTGGTGGAAAGGGTTTGTTATAGATAACAAGTCACCCATTTCACCTTTATGGCTCTGAAGGGAGTTTAAGAACTAAGGACAAGAGACCAAGTGTTATAACAAAAAAATCTTCCCATTGCTTTTATCATTCAGGAAATTCCAAGGCTCTTGGAAGCTATGAGCCAGGAACTGTGGATGAAGACCAAATGTCTATGAAAAACACATTTTGGTCATCTGAATGACCAAATACATATATTTTCTTATAACCCACAATACTGCAGCACCCATCCTTGAACTTTCCTATCTTACATACCCCAGAGTCCATGCTCCAATTACACTGATAAATCCCCAATGCCCAGTTATGCCTTTTGCTAATACTGTTCCTTTTGCCCAAAACCTCTCCCGGAATATCTTTGTCTTACAAGCTCCCATTCATCCCTCAAAACCTAGCTGAGATGTCTTCCTGGAGTGTCTTTCCCAATTCCCCTGAGGAAGTTTTTTCCCTTTCCTTTGAGCTTTCACAGAATGTGGTCCATAGCTTATCACCTTAAATTTGTTATACTTCATTACTTCTCTATATCCCTTGCTTGGCTGTGAGGTCTTGAGGGTCTTCGTTTTTCAAGCTGCGCCGGACACATGATGAATAACTAAAGTGTCTCTGTTGAATTAGAGGGAAAAGTAATCTCACAGTAATATAACTATTGAAAACTGCAAGTCATGTGCTAGGTGCTTTCTCAATACTATTTTTAATCCTCACATCAATCTTGTGCATTGAATTTTATGATCATGGGGCCCAGAGAGGTTAAATAACTTGCTCAAGAACACACAGCTAGTGGATGATGAGCAGAAATCTGAGAACAGTTCTGTATATTCTTATAAGAGGCAATGCTGCTTCCTATTGCTTCCTAACCAGCCAAAGTCCCTGTTTCAACTTTCTTTCCATGTGTCCAGGGATTCTGAATGCTTCCTCCTCCTCCAATCCCTGTACCTCCCTCCAGCTGAAGAGGTCCTAGACCACAGGGATCTGGCATTCCCTGGTGGGACTCAGAGACAATTCTCTGGCTTACCCAGCCTTATGTTTGAGGCCAAGCAAGGGAGGAGATACAAATGAAAACAGGAAGGGTTGGTTTCACTAAAAATTGTGGGATTTAAGAAGCCCAGATATCACTGTATGGGACCCACTTAACAACAAGTAATAATGTGAAAAGGAGAGAGGACCTCTTTCCCACCTTGCACAGTAAATGCTCAAGAACACAGCTCAACCCTGGGCAAGGGCAGCTCCCAGGTGACAGCTTTAGCAGGGCCAGTAGAATTGAAAACACTTTCCCCAGAGGCTCCAGGAAGACATAGTCCACCACCAGAGAAAGTGGCAATGAGGACCTACTGCCCTGAAGCTCCAGGAAGCCACTCCAACTGTGGGAGTTGGTGTGACATGCTTGAGAGTGCTGGGAGATAGGCCCTGGCAGGGATGTTAGGGTGTTCACAGAGATCCCTGACAACACACACCAGTAAGGAGGTCAAGGAAGAACAGAAGGAAAATGATGAGAGGACATATAAGTAAACCCCTAGAGAGACTCCAGGCATAACTGGGAACGATTTTTTAAATTAACATATAATGTATTATTTGCTCCAGGGGTACAGGTCTCTGAATCATCAGGCTTACACATTTCACTGCACTCACCATATCACATACCCTCCCCAACGTCCATAACACTGGGAACGATTTTTAAATGTACATACTATAACAGTAGGTGGCAAAAGAACCAGAGAGACTGTATTACTGTTACCTAGTCCTATTTTTATCCTCCGTACAGAGTTGTGGGGAAATGCAGGCTGATGTACATCTTTATGGACCTTGCTGTATATCCTATATTGTTTTCATTTTATTCTTTCACTCACTCATTCAATCAATATTTATTACAGTCCAGATATGGTTTTACCATTCACACAGCCATCACAGTGTAATAGTACACCAATTTCACTACAACCTTACTAACCTAGAATGGAATGACTCATGTTAGCTATTAGTAGTTTTGTTTTGTTTAGTGGTTTTGAAATACCTCAAAAATCTAAGGACTGGCTAATAATATTTGTTCTAATTTCAGAAATGTGTATTTCTTCAGATAAACATTTTTCAAGGTTATACAATCAAACTGCATATTCCACGACCCATTGAACACATCACCTTTATCCAAATGTCACGATTACCCAAGTGTGGGATCTCACTGTATACCTACCCAGTGTGTGGGTGCTACCACCTGTTCTCCTGGTCTTCCTCCTTCCCCAACCTGGCTGGCTGCAGCCTGTGGCCTCTGCACCATTCTTTTTCTAGATAATTAGTGAGGACTAACCAGGGATGGGTTAGAGGTTCCCGAATCTTCGTTCATAAAAAGTAGACCACATTAAGCTCAGTGAGTGTCTGGTGGGGAATGAAGGAGAAACTGCCATCTTTCTTTCTCTTTCTCTTTCTTTCTCCTTCTCTCTCTTTCTTTCTTTCTTTCTTTCTTTCTTTCTTTCTTTCTTTTCCCCTGAATAATCCAAATAAACTGTATTCAACCCTTATAAATATGGTTTTGAGTGTCATAATACTGGAGTAAATGCTCCAACTCTAGCTCCTGGAAGCTTCCACCATCCTAAGCCTAACTCAATCTGTGTTTTGTTCTGAACCACCAGGGCCCTCACACTGCAGGAATATCTTGCAGTCCACCTCCCATCATCCTGACTGGGGATGCCAGTTCACCGGAAGGAGAAACTGACAAAAACTTGGTCAACAGGTAAATCTCATGTGCCTAATCTTTGCATTGTGAAGAATAATATTTCCTAGCATGTGAGGATTAGTTGGCTTTTTATAAATCTTCTTTCTTGATCATTTTATTGATGAAACAGAATCAAGCAGTTTTTCCAAATGAGAGCAAGAGGGTGAGATTTGTCCATTATCTTTCCCTTCCCGCCCCCAAATTATTTTTCTTTTCCTGAATTTGGTTCTTGTACATTGCTAGCCTTAACCACAAATCCTAGCAGGGTAGTTTCCCATAATAACTGCCCAGATAGTTGCAAACAGACCTGAGAGAGAAGAGTCTTTGACCAAAGAATCCTGCCTCTGGGCAAAGTGGGTCCTGGGAGGAAGATGATCCCTTGGGAAGGACACTGGCTCATGTACACAGTGATGTCCCTGCCTCAGTTTGACCCAGCACTAACATATGCATTGGTCTGGCTGGAGTAAGACTGAGTGTCATTTTCAAAAAGCTACAAAGATCATTCTTACACAAAAATATAGTGAGAATGTGTCAAATATTTATTTAATTCATTGAGAGGAAACCATCAGGATGACAAAGTCAGTTCAAAAGAGGATATAAGAAATGGAAATACAGATATAATCTGTGGGGAGGAAAAGAATGCTGGAATAAGACGACTAAGTTTGATATAAAATAGGTTAATGTTCCGTAAGACAATGAAAACTTGTTTTTTATCTTTCTTCCCCAACAGAAATAAATCATCTACATCTCTACCAGACAATTATTCATATTTTATGAGTTTTCTACAGTTAGATGTTCATTCAAAGTGGGGGCCCTAATGAAAAGTAAATAACCAAAGTTACATTTCCTTAGAGCAGTTTTTCAAAAACTTTAGCAAGCGGGGGGGGGGGGCATGTTCAATCACAGATGGCTGGGCCCCATGTCCCAGAGTTTCTGATCCATTTGGTCTGGGGTGGAAACTGAGAATTTGCATTTCTAACAAGTTCTCAAGCTTAGGCTTATAAGATGATGCTCTAGAATGACTTTGAAAGGATATACAGGTATCTATTTACCTATTTACAAGCTATGGACAAATTTTCTTAACAAGATGACTCTGTTCTGTCTTTCAGAGCTCACAGTCCCCACAGGAGGCTTTCTCACCGACACCTGAAGGTTTCCACTGCTTCACTGACTTCTGTGGGTAAGGGCTAGCCTAATTATCTTATTTCTGCAACCAGACATAGGGGTCCAGATGAATGTATGTTTGAGCAGGAAGACCGAGATCTGGCAGCTCAGCCCCTTCCCCTCTCCTAATTCTCAGTCAGGTCTATACCTACAAGCCCAAGAAAGCAAAGTCAGTCTGCCCCTCTGTGTTTGGGCCCAGAAGAAGTATGATATCTAATTTTAATTTATTTTGGTAAAAAAGACAAGGCAAGAGGGTAAAGAGAAAGATGAGGAAGTCAAAGAGACAAAACAGCAGGGTGAAGCTCAATTCTGGGCCATAGGGTGCAGAGTCGTCTACCTCCTGCTAGAAAGGCCCAAATCCAGGTAGGCATGTGTTTGAATGCACAGGTCACTACCCCAATCACCAGCTCATTACCCAAATGATTGGGTAATGTTCTGGGTCTGTTCTGGACCATTGGAACATATATATATATATATATATAATGGATTTGGTCTCTGCCTTCATGTTGCTCATAGTCTATGAAAAGACTGAGAAGTAAACAGATATAATCAGGACACCATATTATAAGGCCCTTTAAAGAAGTGTTAGGGAAACTGAGGCAAGAAGGGGATCAATTCTGTCTGGGGAGGGGGGAGGCTGTCCAGAAGACAGCATATTTGAGTTGTGCCTTAGGAAGTTGGACAGATAGAAAGAGAAAGAAAAATCATTCTGGGTGGAAGAAACAACATGGTAGGGGAGCAGGAACCATAACAGAGTAATTGAATGCTCTGCTCCGTGAATTAGTCAGGAGTCTTTCAAATGATAGAAACCTAACTCAAACTATCTTACACTAAAAGTACATACATACAGAATTTGAGAAACAAGGCAGAGGATCATGGGGGAAGAGAGGGGAAAATGAAACAGGATGAAGCCAGAGAGGGAGACAAACCATAAGAGACTAATCTCAGGAAACAAACTGAGGGTTGCTGGAGTGGAGAGGGGTGAGAGGGATGGGGTGGCTGAGTGATGGACATTGGGGAGGGTATGTGCTATGGGGAGCGCTGTGAATTGTGTAAGACTGATGAATTACAGACCAAAAGATAAATTGTATGTTAATTTTAAAAAAGAAAAAATACATACACACATACATACATACAAATAAAGCCAGAGTTTGTGTTTTCAAAGAGTGCTGAATCCAGGTGCTCTAGTTGGGTCATTAGCAATCGGCTCATCCCATCTCTCAAATTTCCACCCATATGTTAGCTTTCTTTTTGGCAAATGGCTACCAGCAACTCCAGGCTTATATCCCATCAGTGGAAAGAGAGTGCTTCTTCTGTGTACTCAACACAATTCCCAGACTTGCCTCTCCTTGGCCTTCCATGGTGATCCCTGAATCAATCACTGTGGACAGGGGGATTGAACTCATCTATTGGCCAAGGCTTGGGTGAGGTTGGGGGATAGGGTTTAGATCCTTCTTAACTAACATAATTGAGACTCAGCGGGGTTTCACCCAATGCAAACTGAGACCTCACCCAATGCAAACGACTGGAAGAAGGGGGAAAGGGGGCTAGAGAGGCACAATGAAAGTTGTTCACCATCAGGGGGGAGGGGAAGGGCCTTTGGAGAAGTATGTGGAATAGGTAAAGATGCTGGGCCCAGTCTGGCATTGGCACATGACTAGGGACCATGAGGAATCCTGATGATGTGAGGCAGAGAAGTGTTAAGGTCAGATATGGCTCTTAAGAAGGTCACTCTGTGGCAGTGGGAGGTGGGAGGAAGGGGATAGTGTGAAGGTAGAGGACCTATGAAGAAGCTGTTGTAATTGTGCGGGTAAGATCTAAGGAACAAGAGTGGAGAGGAGGCACAAGTTCCAGAGATATTTCTGAGGCAAATCATGATCAGGACTTGATCAGTTGGTGGGATGTGAAGAGACCGAGGAAGGAGTGTGGAGTGATTCCCATGGTTCTGAGCAGCTGGGGAAAGTGGTGTCATTCACCCAGAGAAGCGCTGCTGGAGAAGAGTCAGTTCTGGAGAAAGGTGTGGGTAGATAGTGTGAGTAGAGGAAAGAAGGGAGGGAAGGTGGCCGTGATCTTTTGAGTGCTCTTTATCCACACACCTTAAGCTCTCTAGCTTGTTGAAATAGAGACCAGAAAGAACAACACTCTAGGGAAAGATCGCATGGAGGAGGAGCTCCTGATGGCCTTCCTGATGGCAGAGTTTAGGACAGTACTGGGAACCTAGGTGGCTTCATGACCTTTGTTACAGAGGACCTGCCACAGCCACAGATGACAGACCTGCTGAGGCAGCCCTCAGTGAGCTGAGTTCGCTCTGGGCAGTTTCCCTGGGCTAAGGTGTGAGGGTCCAAGGATTCTGTGGTTCTTGCCCTGAGTTCACCCTCCCGCTGCAGACCCCACAGGGCACGTTATTGACCTGGTCAATGACCAGCTGCCAGATATCAGCATCTCAGAAGAGGACAAGAAGAAAAACCTGGCGCTGCTGGAAGAAGCCAAGTTGGTGAGTGAACGATTCCTGACCCGCCGTGGGAGGAAGTCCAGGAGCGGCCCCGGAGACTCCCTGTCAGGTAGGATATACAGGTGGCTGCCCTGAGCCCCTCCGAGGTGGGGTAGGGGATAGGGAGGGCCAGGATCCAGTTGTAGTGGGAGGCCTGCTTCCAAGGGTGGCCTTTGATTTGCCTGCCCCCGGGCTAGGTGCCAGGAGGACTGATCCTTGTGAAGATCTTGTTAAGAGAGGACATCTTACTCTATTTTAGAAGCTCTAAAATACTGATCCAACTCTAGCCCAGAAAACTCCGCTTTTAATTTTTGGGACCTATTGTGGCTTTCTGTTTCACCAAGAAATGTCTACCCTTATGATACCCATGAATTTAACATGGATTCCCCATCCCTTAATCCTACATAGAGAGAAATCTCTGCGTGAGGCCCACGTGCACAGGCTCTTGGACCTCCCTGCATGGATGGAGTCCTCCTGTGGTAGTCACATGGCAGTCCAGAATCAGCCCCTAACCTGACAAAGCAGTCCCAGTTCCCAGGGGTCAGAAATACCTGAAAGGATATCTTTGTTAGGCTGAAGTCGTAAACCTTCATGAATGCTGGCCAGTTTGTGTCTGTCTCCACAGCTGTTTCCCCGAACGTCAGCCCCGGAGCTTCTCTGAACTCCTCTCAAAGCAACTCGCTTACTGTCTCCACGCCACCTGGTGAGGTTCAGTACCAGGTTTCCTGTCCTGGCTTCTCCCTTTGGGTGACATCTGAGTCCAACCCCTGGTCCGACCAGGATGCATCCCATCTTGCAGGGTTTCTAGTCAGGACCCCTGTTTGGCCTCCTCCCCAGAGGACTCCCAGCTAGGCCTGGTCGGGCTGCGTCTGAGGAGGTAGATGTACTTTCTGTTGGGGTTTTGAGCTAGTGTGGGGAGATAGGCCTTGCCCCGGATGAGTCTAGGTAGGTGAGGACAGAGGCAAGGTTGTGGGAAAGGGGCTACAACTGGTGCTTTCTTGCTAAGAGAGGACTCAGAGAGGGGCTACCCCAGAGCATATTTTAAAAGGTCTCTATTTGAGCCACTCTTTTCTTTTTGGTTTCTTCCCTTTCATTAGACTGTGTACAGGGCCACACCCTTAAACCAGCTCGGAAAGGGGCATGGTGCCAGGGAGAACAGCCTGCCCTTGTCAGAGATGTTGGGCAAACTCAGGCTCTAACTAGGCATCCTGGGTTCAATTCCCAGTGCTGAGACTTCCTGGCTGTATGGCCTTGATTTCCCTCTGCCTCAGTTTCCTCATGTGGTTTCTGTGCTGATTAAATGAGCGCTCTCCATAGAACGTGACATGTGAAATGTACTTAACATGTCAGGCATTACTGGCAACCAGACCTGGGGAACAAAGGGAGGGCATTCTGGGGAGGTAGATATGTTTTTGCTAAAGGAACAGCTAGCTGATGGTCTGAGGGACTAGACATCACTCACCAGTGTCTGGGCTATTCCAGGTTTGGATGCATGCAGTGACCCACAGTCCCCTTTGCCTGGAGCACCACCACAGGTAACAGGGGTCCTGATCGGGGTTTCTATGCCAACTGGTCTCTCCCCTTATCCCTTAACCCCTGAGAGGCCCTCATGACCCACTGAGATGGTGGTGCTGCGAGGGGAAAGCATCTATACCACTTCGAGGGTATTTAAGAGGAGATATGGTCTCTTTGCATTGCTGTCTGACTTGTGTTCACTTTCTCCAGCAGAAGGGGGATGAGGCCGAAGTCTCTTCACCTCACTTTGGCGAACCTGTGAGTGTGAACTCTGTCCAATTTGGGTGATTTGGGTGGGAGACACTGTTCCAAAAGTCTAGGCTAGCCCTGGGCAGCCTGCAAGTGAGTGTGAGTGGAGTGTCATGGCTGGGGAGACTAGAAGTTTCCTCTGTTCTATGATGACTGGAAGTCTAAAGTATGGGGGGGTAAGGAGGCAGGATTCACCTTCACTTTAACCCTATAACCTGGCACCTTCACTAGGGCCACTGGCCATAGACTAGGGGGACTGCTGGGCCCAGGAACAGTCAGACAAGACAGCTGCTTTTGTCACTCTAGTAAAAATTACAGTAAAGTTCCAGTTCCTGATTGGGATTCCTCTTGGGGGCAGTCTGGAAAATCTCATCTTTGCTGATGAGCACTAGACGGCTCCCACCTCTGCTCAGAGCAAAGTGCTCAAGGTGATGTTGAGGGCAGCATGAAATACAGTCTCATCTAGAACTGGGGCTAGGATAGAGTCCTCTGGCAGAGTTTCGCCACTCACACAAGATAGCCATACAAATCCTCCTCACAAAGCAGGTTTCCCTTGAGAAATGAAATAAGAGTGCAGAATCTTAGAACTTCTGAGCGGTAAGATAATCACCTTTGCAAGAATCACCTGATTCAGAGATCCGTAACCATTTTTGGATCATGGAATTCTCTGCGATATTGCTGAAAGCCATGGTTTCTCTTCCCAGAAAAATACATACAACATGCACACATAAACACACATATACATTTGCAATAGTTTCAGAGGGTTCACAAATCTGATGAGAAATCTGAGTCCCTAAAGAGTTAAGGGCCTTGCCAGGAAGAGTCAAGACTAGAAACTGGGGCAAGTGAGTCAAGGCTGAAATTTGTGACTGCCCCCAACCAGTCTACTATTCCACGGTCTTCCACAGCCCCTAGCCCTTGGGAAGTCCTTGGAAGATTGTGAATGACAGGTGGCCTTGTCCTATCTGTTTTATAGACCTCAGGCTTGTCTGTGCATCCCCCTTTACTGGTTTATATTTGACTGAGAAGCCCTCCCCTTCCACTCAGTGCACACGCATACACACAGCCACCTTAGCAGGGTCTGTGGAGACAGAGGCCCCACAGTGGAAGTGGCCCACCTCTTTCCTCTCCAGCCTGCCTCCAGAGTCCCAGCTCTACCTTGTCTCTTTCAGAATGTCTCCAAAGGGTTAGCTGACCGGAAGCAGAATGACCAGAGGAAAGTGTCTCAGGGCAGGCTGACTCCTCGTTCTCCCACAGTTGAGAAATCCAAAGAGACTGCAATTGACCAGAAGGAAAACTGCGATCCCCTCCAATGCCCTGAGGCCACACCCAAAGGCCCAGCTTCTGGCATAGGCAGTGGTGGGAAAATGGCCCTGAATAGCCCTCAGCCTGGCCCTGGTGAAAATGAGCTGGGAAAGGCACTTCTGAAGACAGCCAAGGAAGGCAACCCTCTGCCTAGAGGTCCAGCCCAGGGCTCTGGAGGCGTGGCTCCTCTGAGCCCCCAGGGAAAAGGTACAGCTGGAGAGCCGACAGGGTCAAAATTTGGCTCCAAAGCAGAGTTGCGGCCCCCTGCTTCCCGGCCACCCCTACAGCGGGGGGTCTCCTGGGACAGCGGTCCTGAAGAACCTGGCCCCCGGCTGCAGAAAGTGCTTGCCAAGCTGCCTTTGGCAGAGGAAGAGAAGCGTTTTTCAGGCAAAGCTGGCAGCAAGTTGGCCAAGGCACCCGGACTCAAAGACTTCCAGATACAAGTGCAGCCAGTACGGATGCAAAAACTGTCTAAGCTCCGTGAGGTAAGTTCCTGGGGGCCAGCTGGGCAGGGTGTGCACTCCAGGTACCCCCTGGGCTGGAGACCTCTGGGCTGATCTGCTAGGCAGTGTAGCTGTGGCCTGGACTTGGGCCTTATGGGTCCCAAAACTTCTCCACCTGATAAATCAGGCCCGCTGTGCAGCATCTTCTTCATATATGTTTCAGGTGATTTTACCTCACTTCCTAGGGTGAGATCAGTGGGATGTAGTTGCCACACAAAGTCACATTTTAAGGGGAAGGCAGGTGGATGGATGGGCACGTGGGCCCTCAGTACCAGGCTGTGTTTTCCCCTCCAGCCAGAGCTGGCAGCTCATAAACAGGAAGCCCTTGATAGAGTGCCTTGTCATGCCAAGGATGGAATAGCTTTTCCCTCTGTGAGGCCCCTGAACTTTCCTTCCTGATGCCTGTTAACCAAGGGCCTCAAGTCCATCTTCAAGTACAATGATGCCATGAGGGGCTGCTCCCCCTGTGGTGAATTTCTTCCGCTGTCCATGATGGCCCCATCTTTCACTGGCCATCAAACCAGGCACGGTAGTCTCTCATGGGGCGGCCACCCTACGCAAGGGGTGATTGGGAATATCCAGCAATGTAGGGGACCGAGATAGGATGTGAGGGTGAAAAGAGATGAACAGGACAAGGAATTGTTATCCAGTCCCGTTTCCCCGGAGGACCAACCCAGGCCACAGGCCAAGGCAACTGGGACTTCATGGGGTGGGACCTGGCACCCTCACGGCTAGAACTGGACAAGGTTCCCCAGGCTCCCCTACAGAAGGTGTGTGAGCTGGGGAAGGAAAAGAGGCATCTGATAGCAGTCAAGCACAAGTGAGGAGGTTTCTGTGCTAGCAGGGACACATTGCAATGTGTCATATTCAGAAACCTTCATTCCTATTCAGAAACTTTCCGCGATGCTCTGAATTGGAGGCTCCAGGGACCTGCTAAGGAAACAGGTAAAGGGCCATGGCCAATTGCTTCCATTTGGTCCAGGAGCACCCTCTGCTGGTCCCTCCCTTTTTCTTCTTTACCCAGGGGACAAACCATTCAAGTGGCCCCTGCTACACGGGAGACTGAAAATCCCCTCATAAGCTCAAGTCACAAGGCGTGAGGAGATCTCTCAAATGTTGGAAGTGCTGGTCTGGTGCTGACTGACTTGTGGTCAGCAACCCCATCTCTCCTGGGCTTTGACTGCCAAGGCCCCAAGCAGCATAGTTGGGCAGCAATTCTCTGGCCTCGTTTGTCTGGAGAGTTTAACAACTCTAGGGGTGCCATAACCAGCCCATGAGGAAACTGGGGGTAGGAGAGGTCACAACACCTAGAAATGGGCATTCACTGCCTTGAACAACAGGGCAGGAAGCTCTAGCCAGCTTGAAGCACAGTCATGGGCTCAACAAAATTTCCAGCAGAAGCTCCATACACATCCAGGTGACCATCCTGTCCCCAGAGCCCTGGGCTCTGCTTCTGTTTGTCGTATAACTCTCAGCCACAGTGTGGCTGGAGCTCATTTGCCCTGAGGCCCCCAGGCTTACTTAAAAGACAGACCATGCCAAGGACAATTCTTAACCCAAGAAATGTGGTGCTAATGGTGGGGTTTGGGACACTTTTATGGGCCGGGAGAGGAACAGTCTTCCAGGTGCCCTTCATATGGCACCATGTCATGACTGTCCACCCACCTTTGAGGCTGTCCCTAGTACCTCCCACATAAGGCTGGGTGGTCACAGAGGCATAAACAGAACAAAGAGAAGAGCTCCGCCTGATGTTATTGTCTGAAATGTTGTTTTCTTCTTCCCCTAAAAAGGAGCACATCCTGATAAGAAATCAGAACTTAGTGGGGCTCAAGCTTCCAGAACTTAGTGAAGCAGCTGAGCAGGAAAAAGGTAGGTGGGGTCCGGGCAGATGCTCTCCTCAGGCCAGGGCTGGATTCATTTTTACCAGATAAAAGAAGGTGAATGTGTAAACTGGAGAATTCTGTCAGGGCTTTGGTCTCAGTGGCGAGTGTGTGCCAAACACAGAGGAGGCACTCAGTAAATATTTGCAGATAAATGAATGAATCAGATCATGTTTCCTGCCCAGAGAACCTCTAAACTTGTCTCCTCCCAACCAGCACCCCCTTCCGGACCCTGCCAGCCCTCCCTGAGCCTTGTTAGCACCTAGAAGGCTTGGAAGGGTGACCCAAGCCTCAACTTTTGACACTTCCTTTTCCTCTCACACCCAGGAAGTCACTCAAATAGAACAGTTCCTCTTTTCAAGACATCAGAGTCATCTCTTGCTTTCTAATCTGCTGTCACCACAAAGTCCAGACACCAGCCCTTTCCTCCCTGGCCCTGCAAGTCCCCACCCACCCACCCTGCCAGACTCATCTGGAAAATAAGACTTTGGATCTCCTGCCTCCCTCCTGCCCCCCATCTCCTGGCTCACCTCTTCTCTGGGTCATGTTACCTGTGGTCAGTCATAGCACAGAAGCCTTCTGCTTAAAGATTGTTGTATGGGCAGGACCGGGGTGCCACCAACTTTGTTGGAAGCCCTGATCTGAAATATAGTTAACTAACAGCTACCTATTCAACATTAACAAGATTCCCAGAAGTAAAATTTCCAACAACTTTTTAAAGTACTAATTAAAGAAAATTAACTATCTTTAGAGAAAAACTTCAGGGAAAAATATGATATACTTTTCCACTTTTAATTTTTAATGTGCTTATTAAAGCAGCTTCAAAACACTAGGAAAAGATTCATCTTAAAATTTGCCCCACAATCCCCTAAATTCTGAAAAAAAACCCCACAATTTTTATTCTTTCCACTATTTACCTGCATTTATAATTTTTTTCACAATTGATTTGTATAGCTATATCTTCTTGTTTCTACTTTTTAAACTTATTTCATAACTGATTCCATATATTTTGACCTGTCCTGTTGTTTATCATTGAATGGGTGTACATTTCCACTGATGCATTGACTGCTGGGTATTCCAAATGTTTATAGTTCTCTTAGCTATGATTAACCACCCTGCTCTAAACAACTCTGTACTCATAGTTTTTTTCTTTCTTCCTTCAAGTTATTCCCTTGAACAAATTCTCAGGCTTGAGATTCACTGGGTCAAAGTGTAGAAACACTTGCATACCAAGTTGCCTCCAGTGTAGACTGCTACCGGCAAAGACTGAGGAGTCTTCCTCCTAAGAACTGCCAGCACTGGACTTTGCTTTGCTTTCACTCCTTACGGGCCAGAATATAGTAAGAATCAGATAATCAATAAATGCCACTTTGTTATTACTTCAACTAATTTGCTAGCAAGCAAGTTCAAATTTAAATATTTTAAATGTTTATTTACTCTGTTTTTTCTTAGTGGGCAGATTAGCTCTGCATTGCTCTACCCAAGTGTCCATATGGGTCTTAGGGTTTTTTTGTTGGTTTATTTTTTGTTGGTAATACATGTAAACTCTACAGACATTAACCTTTTACTGTATTCTTCTCTTGAAATTTATTTCTAGTTTCATACCATTATGCTTGGAAAAGATGCTTGATGTAATTTCAGTCTTAAATTTATTGAGACTTGTTTTGTTCCTAACATATTATCTATTCTAGAGAATGTTTCATGTGCACTTGAGAAAAATATGTATTCTTTCACTTTTGGGTGGAATGTTCTATATATGTTTATTAGGTCCATCTGGTCTGATACGTCATGTAAGGCCAATGCTTCCTCATTGATTTTCTGTCTGGATAATCTCTTCATTGATGATAGTGGGGTTATTAAAGTCCCTTACAATTATTGCATTGCTGAAAATTTCTCCCTTTCAGTTTGTTAATATTTGTTTTATATTTAGGTACTCCTATATTGGGTGCATAAATATTTGCAAATGTTACATCCTCTTGTTGGGTTTGTATTTTTCTTAGTACTTTTTCATCCCATCATTTTTTGCTTTTTAACAAGTTTTACTTTAGAGAAATTGTGAATTTTTTTTAAAGATTTTATTTATTTATTTGACAGACAAAGATCACAAGTAGGCAGAGAGGCAGGCAGAAAGAGAAGGAAGCAGGCTGCCTGCTGAGCAGAGAGCCCGATGCAGGGCTCCATCCCAGGACCCTGGATCATGACCTGAGCTGAAGGCAGAGACTTTAACCCACTGAGCCACCCAGGTGCCCCGAGAAATTGTAAAGTTTTTATAATAATCTTTGCCTATCTTTTCTTTTGAGAAGTCTTCCATTATTTAAATTGTTATAAAAACATTACTTCTCCCTAATTGGGATAGCAAATCTATTTTCTAATAGTTTGATCTATTTATATTTATTTTGCTAATACCTGTGAAATTTATTTTAAGACATAGGTATTTGGAAATTTAAGATCCTGTTACCTCAATAATTTTTTTATTAGTATGTATATTCTTATTATTTTGTGGCTTAGACAATCATATACTACATTCTTTTTTATATATACCAAACACTAGTTCTGAGTGCCTGATTTTCTTTTATTCTAATCAATACTGACCCATTTTAATTACTGCTGCCTTAAAATATATTGTATTATGTAAGACTACTTCTCTTTCACTATTCATCTTTTTCAGAATATTCATTATGTTCTAGATATAAAGATTCAGTGCAAAATAATGGAAAGAACAACTGCACAAAAAGTCAGGAGATCTGAGTTCCTGTCTCAGCCCAGGAACCAACTGACTGAGTCTTTTTTTTTTTTTAAAGATTTCATTTATTTGACAGAGATCACAAGTAGGCAGGGAGGCAGGCAGAGAGAGAGAGAGAGGAGGAAGCAGGCTCCCCGCTGAGCAGAGAGCCCAATGGGGGGCTTGATCCCAGGACCCTGGAATCATGACCTGAGCTGAAGGCAGAGGCTTTAACCCACTGAGCCACCCAGGTGCCCCTGACTGAGTCTTTAAATGCGTTCTTCAACCTCTGTTCCCTCTTATACTAGCTGACCTCAGAAGGCTCTTAGCTCTAAAGTAAGATTCAAGGATTATAGTTCTTTTTTGGTTTTGCCTCTTAACTACCTATTTCTTTAAGTGAGATTTATACCATTCTATACAACATTTTAATTGTGATTGCTCTAAAGCTACACACTGGATTCAGAAGAACTGTCCTAGTGTTGTTTGTTTTATAGTTTATAGACTTTTTAAAATTACTTACTTTGAAAAAATTTAGTTCTCATTCCACATGGTGTGTCCCTCTATAAATCTGGATTTTCCTTTCTTTTTCCTCTAAAAGATTTGAAGTTCTTTGTACAGGTCTCCTTATCTCTTATTAGGGTACATTCTGTACATTCTTACCCATTAATGAAGAAGACTCTTTTTTTCATTAGATTTTCCTAGTTGACAATCAGTGGCATAGATGAATACTGCTTGGTATTATATGTGTTTCTTTTATATGAAGAAATGATACATGGATTACTACAGTGACTAACTAGCACAATTACTATAACTAGAGTGATTACTGCATGCCAGGTACTGGATTAAGCATCTGATAATATTTCACTTAATGCTCATAGCAAACCTAGGAGGCAGGCCTTACTATATCCCTTTTACAGATGAGGAAATTGAAGCCTGGGGAGGTTAAGTTCACATGGTTATTAATTGCGGAAGCCAGGATCAGAATCCAGATGTGACCAAATCCAAAGGCTCTTGACCACTTTGCACAATGCTTTTTTCACATTCACAATCTGTTATTTTTATTTTATTGAATTCACTGTTTGTCTTGGTTGTGTATTTGTGCATATGTGTGTGTGTACTTGTGTATCTGTCCGTGTTTTCTACTTTGGCTACATTCTCTAATACAATAATGGTGATAAGGAGAATACTTGCCTTGTTTCTGTTTTTAATTGAATTGTTTTTGTGTTTTTCTTTGAAGGATCATGTTGTGTCTGATTCTTAAATAGATGTACTATTTTAATTTACCATATTATTTTAATTATTAAATATTTTATATTCCTAAATAGAAAAAGATATGTAATAAAATATGTAAAATATAAAAATACATTATTTCATCATATAGTATACCATTTTACATATTTTATGTTATTTTATATATATTATATGTTTATATATTTTTATATATAGTTTTATATATAGTGTATTATTTTACATTCTTATTATTTTAAGGAAATATTCTGGTCTTTAAAGCTTCAAGATTTATGTTGAATTTTATCAATTTGCTTTGGTTATCTATTGAAGAATTACATAAATTCAGTCATTTAATATAGTAATAATTTTCCAAATTTAGAAATAAACCCTTGTGGTCCTGGAATAAAATTCATTTGGTCATGTTGTATTTTCTTTTATGTGTACTACCAAATTTTCTCCATAAGTATTTCTTTTAAAGTATTCTGTAACATTCGGCATTAGTTAAGATAAAATCTACGTTGCTTTAACATAGAGGCCCAGAAGTATGCTAACCTGCAGGGTAGAGAAGAATGTGTCAGCCTCGAGTAATGATTCTAAGGCAAGCTGGCAGGTTAGCAGGTGGCTCTGCTTCACATAATCATTCAGGGACCTTAGTTTCTTCTCTGCATTTCTCTACATTCTCCTAGATGTATCTTTATAGAAATACATAAGTTTTGCCATGGGATAGTATCTTAGAAGTGGAACTGCTTGATCAAAAGGCATTTATATTTAAATACATATACATACTGCCAAATTAACTTATAAAATGTATACCAATTTGGGGGCTCTTGGGTGGCTCAGTCATTAAGCATCTGCCTTTGGCTCAGGTCATGATTCCAGGGATTGAGCTCCCCATCGGGCTCCCTGCTCAGCAGGAAGCCTGCTTCTCCCTCTCCCACTCCCCTCATTTGTGTTTCTCTCTCACTGTCTGTCTCTCTGTCAATTAAATAAATAAAATCTTTAAAAAATATATGCCAATTTAGATATCCACTACGTGC